AGGGTAAGGGTAAGGGTAAGGGAAATGTGCCTGGTTTGAGGTTGAGATTGCATCCAAAAATGGGTCGCTTGAATCGCCTGACGCGGTTGATGCTATTGCTTTTGGACCAACTGGTGGTGGATGATTGTGTGTTCCTTCATACGTTGTGATGAGTATCGACATGTCCTCCAAACATCTTTGGACCTAATATCATGTCAATTGCATTACTCAACGTCTAAAAGGTCAATTATATTAGAAGTATGTTGTTTGATATAATATAAGCAAAACAAGAAAATGTTAAAAATTTCGAGGGGAAATTAAATTTTTCGTTACCTGCTTTCTTACTGGGCATCCAGGAGCTACGGTGCAACGATAATATGCTCTTGGGAAAGGATTTCCTTTAGCAGTCTTTTGACCATACTTTCTCCATTGACATCCATCATTCATCTAATATATATATGTTTATAAATAAATTTTAAGTCTTGAATCTTGTAAAACTCAATAAAACAAGCCCATAAACACAACTTATGTCAAAAACTGATCTCTAGTCCTTACTAAGTAAAGAGATAAAAAAAAATGAAATTGAAAACAAGAAAAAATACAGATTCAAAGTGGTTCACCCTCAACTTAGGGGTCAACTAGATAATTGTGCAGAACGATTAGGCTCTACATACATATATAGAGAAAGAGCGAAACTCACTGTGGCGGTTTCACATCTGGCTCTGACTGAAACCCTAGATTTTCTACGGGATGGAGATGTAACATGGCTTGTAATTCCAGGCAAGGTGCTGCTTCCATGTAGCTTACCTTGTATCCATGTAGTCAATCCCTCTCTATCTTCCTTTTTCTCCCTTTGCTCATCTTCTGCCTCTACTTTTTTTTCACTGCTCTTCAGTGTCAATGACAACCCTAATTCAGTATTATCACTCACGTCATCTTCCCGTCTTAATGGTGACAACAGCGTTTGATTCTTGATATCAAATATCTTTGGAATTCTATTTGTCTCTTGATCACTCGGCTCATCATTTCCATTCAGTGAAAAGAAAATTTTGGGATCCTAAAACAAATAATCAATGAAATGTCAAATAAAAAAGCTATAATTATCATAGACTGAAAATCAAAAAGGATAAGTAGTTGTATAATATGATTAGGCTCAAGTTTACCTTCTTTTGGTTATTTTTTTGGATCATATTAACTTTGATTTGTAGATCATAATAATCCTTCATAGTTTGTTCTACCGAGCTCCTTAATATCTTATTCTCCTCCTTCATCTGATTCATCTTCATCTGTAAAATGGGCAGCTAACAGAATATTACAGTTTGATTAGTCATTGCTTTAAAACGAAGGCCATGCGTATAATTATTTAAATACACAGACAAATTCTATACCTTATCCCTCTTCGAGTCAACCGATGAGTAATATTCAATGGATTTCTGATCATCGCCAACTATAATTTCTTGGGATTTTTCTTTCAATTTGTTTTCGAGCAGAAATTCATTTCCTGCTCGATTCTTCTGCAATTGAGGCGGCTGTTCATCGGTTTTTGCTTCTTCTTGTGAATCTAGCTTAAGGGATAGATCAATTTTCATTTCCCGATCAGTTTCTTCTTCAAGTTTTTCCATGTAGAAATACAAAAATTGATGGTACCGTCATACCGAAGTCAATTCATCTGTCTCAAATTTATAAGTAGAATGTATCTAAGTTTTGACTTTAATCTTGATCCTTAATTAACTCAATTTATCATAAGCTACTTAGAATAATTTGTGTGTATGTATGTATATGACCATAGCATTGCCATTGGGCGCACTCTTTATATTTTATTGTTACTGTGAAAGAGTAGCGCTATTCATAGTGAGTACTATCAGTAGTTCTCGTACGTAGCATATATATGACAGTTTATTATTTGATTCATTATCACGCGGTAGTGCCAGAATCATTGACATAATGTTTACATAATGCCACGTGGTGCTCTATCATCGGACTATTTAAAACATAATCATCTTTTTCATCAAATTATTTTTCGTCACATAAGATTCTGTCAACCCATATGTCATAATTTTTTTAGCAATATGCTTAATCCTTTGATATATGAGACAATAAAAAACAACCACATTAATTCATCAAATAATAAAGTGGGAGACTATCGAAAGTCTTCACTGTAAATAGCATTATTTATTGTGAAATAAATATGGTGCCCCCACAAAACTTGTAGATACCTCTAAGGCAACCTAAAATTGCCTCTAAGCCCTTCCTCCATCATCGCTTGACTAGGTTGACTGTATTCATTTTTCAATTGCGCCAGATTTATTAATATAAGCTACTGACTACCTTGTCGCGAGAGAGAGAGAGAGAGTGCCTGAATCGAACTCCCAAATTTCTTTTAATGCTTTTTTTTAAATTCATTTTTTTCAAACTCATTTTTAATCACATATTCTCTTACTAACAAAATAATTTGACATGTAAATCCAACACTTTTCCAAGTTTTAAAATGCATATATATTCTTAAAAAAAAAAAAAATCACTTTTTACAAATTTATTCTCTAAAAATAGGCTCAAACATGGAATTAATTTCACTTATTTACATTGTTTTGGTTATTTGGTTAGAAAAAGTGAGGCAAATTATTGAGGATATATCTCTATATTTTGCCAAATACTTTCGAGTGTTTTTTGGCATTTGAGTTATGAAATATTAATTATTTTTCACATATTTTTGCTAATTCAGATAGTCAATTATGGATATGAGAGAGTTGTATTTGTTGAATGGAACTCTTAAAAAAGAATTTTATTGTTAAGCGTCATTTGAGATCCGATCGTGAACTCATTACATTGTGGTCAGGGACGGAGCCAAGGGACTACACACACACACACTACACTGATATATAGAAAAGAAATCCTGAAACATGGAATTGGACTCCTTGTAAGCGCGTACAGACAGCTCTTGTTCCCTGGCCTGTTGGGGCAAATCCCGAGATTTACCTCCCTCACAAAGCTCTAAGAGTGGGGCGGTGGAGGCTCTCAAGGTTGGAGTTCAACCTTTTTTTTTAGAAAAGAAAAAACTAAGTGAGCCCCTCTCCCTACAACCCTAACTAGGGAATAACTAGGTTGAGTTTAGAACGTTGGGTACGAGACCTCCCTCCAAAGTCCAACCCTTGTTTTCTTAGTATCAAATTTAGTTATTTAATTGCAAGAAAAAAATGGAAAATTAAGATTTATTATTTCTTATAATAATAGTAATCTTCATGCTAAAATCTGAAGATTATTGTTTTGAAACCCTATTTTACACAAGGTTACTCTGGTATTTTGACTTGATATAGATTTTTTAAAGAAAAAATGTCAATTCCTTACAGAATATGAACCCTGTACGAAATCAAGAACTTTTGGGATCAGATCAGGAAATTGTCAACTGTAAGACCTTAATTTAATGCACCCTTTTCCACTTATACTTCTTAATTATATTTTGTTATACTTTTCCACCACTTCCCACGTTAATTTAGATTTTTTAATTAATTAAATTAATTAGATAATTAATCTCAGGTCAATATATAGTCTAATAAAGACAAGTTAAGAGTTTGTTTAGAAGTTAATACCTGTGTTGAAACTTGAAAGGTAATTTCAGATTCAAACAAAGATTGTCACGGTTAGAAGAGCACGGTGTAAGAATCGAGGGTAAATTCCATTCGAATAAAGTGTATTTTTACTTAGTTTCAATCAACTGTAATTTCTTTTTTTCAATCGAGTAATTGTAATTTAATTTAATTTCAATCGACTAATTGTACTTTAGTTTGATTTTCATCCAATAACTAAATTTTAACTTCATTTCACGGGTGAAAATTGATGACATGATAGTTAAAAAATTATCGTCATCACATATATCCAATAGTGGCGACGTGGAATAAGAACAATTTCAATGAAATAAATTATGACAATCATTGATTGATTATCATGTCCTTGATTTCGTCGATTCAAGTGATAGAATTGGAAGGAATTACTCAATTGAAATAAAATTAAAAAGTAGCTACTCAATTGATCAAAATTGAATTTCAGTTACGTGAATGAAATCAAGCAAAAGTATAGTTTCTGTGAACAAAATTTACCCTAAGAATCCAATTCAATCAGTCGATTTAACCAAGAAATTCGAAAACAATCCAAAATCATACATAGTTATATATAAACCTAAATTTTAAAACTATTAACTGATGAGTACTTTAATACATAACTATATTTTTACTTTTATCTATTTATTACTTATTCTTACCACTGATTCAATCATTTGATTCTTTACCATTTTCAACTCTATCCGAGTGAATTTATTATGTTTGTAAATATAACAAGAGATTATAAGGCACAATATGAAGTAGAATTCTCTACATAAGAGACAAAAATTAATTTGGCATAGGAATGAAGAATTTATCATATATGGAGAAAAAATATAAAGTATTGTGTTTCTAACTTATGTAATTGTTCTAACTTTTAAAGAAGAGCTAACTATATATATGAATATGCTAAAACCTTAATACAAGTCCTAAAAATAAAAGGAGTATCAAAAATCACATGAATAAAGAAAATAATCTTGAGCCGAACAAGCATGGCGCTTGAGACTGAGGCTCGAGTGGCAAGTGCGCCACTTGAGTGGTGGACATGCGGTAGGTGGGCGACAGGTCTTTGTTGAAAATTCCGTCCTGTTGCTCAAGCAGTAAACTAGTGGCAATGCAATGTCTTTTCCTTCTTGTTCCATATTTTGACCTTTTTGTGGCTCAATTCAACAAATTCACAAATAACCAATAGAATTTAGGTTAAATGTCAAATTTGAACCAAATTTCGATGCAATGAACGAACTTTGAAACTCTTCACCTGGAGACAGATTTCATTGTAAGGCAAAAATTGAACTCTTTTACAAAAACATCGACCGAACTCTCTAACATACAAAATTCTCCATGGCTTCCACAAAATCCAACTAGGATAATTGAATCCAAGTATTGCTTAGCAAAATTACTTTGAATTCTCAAAATTTGTACGAATTATCAATACGAGCAACAAAATCACAAAATAAATCCACGCCCCTGAAACAGAATCAACATCACAAAATGCTTTTATATAAGACTTTTCATTAAACTCGACACCTTCAGCCGCATTTCAACCATGCACAACTAAATCAATTTTTCCGTACCTATGTGGAGGCCTAAAATTTCTTCTAAATATGTCTCTAGCAATTGAATACGATGATATCATTGGTGGTGGTTGCAAAATGGCATTATCCATAACTTCTAAACTCGATTAAGAAGTATTCTCCAACACGAATCTTGAACCAAACTCCACCGATACTGTCCCAAACTATATATTCACCAAAGTACTAAACCTCTAGTAACTGATCTTCAAAGATCATGAAAAACCTTGCAAGACGTACAACTGAGACCTCCACTCCCCCTCTAATAACAACATGGGTACCTTTTTTAGAACTCCACCTTCACCAATGAACTTGTACTCTTTTGAAATCAAAAGTAGTTAGTGAGATAAAATTTCTCTTTAAATCTGAACATGTCTTACTACATCAAGTTCTTTAATCGTCTTATCCAACATCTTAAGTCCGATCCTTTTAATACTAGCTACCTTATAGGGTAAATTATTGCCCATTACCACGATACTGTTCAAAAAGCTTCATATATTGTAAACATATCTCAATTGGGACACTCTTGGACCAGGCGAGCGACACTCTCACAGTAACTAGCAGCAAGTTTGCCGCTAGAGCGATAGGCGGGCGATAGCTCCGCTAAAAACTTCATCCTACCACTCGAGCGTTGAGCCAATAATGACAATGCTTCATAGTCCATATTTTGACATCTTCAAAGTCCAACTCAACAAATTCACAAAAGCTCAAGGGAATTTTGGTCAAACTTTAGCATAAAGCATCTAATGCACCATTTGTGGCGTGTCCATGTCTTGTCGATCTATAGTGTAGTATTTGGATGTTGCATAAAATTGCAATATAAAAGAATGAATTGGTGTTTGAATAAGTCAATATTTCATTCTTATTTCAAAGTGGGGTTCTTACTCACCAAGTATATAATCTTCTAATTCATTTTTGTGAAAGATGTTAATTGCTTAATGTTTTATATGATTAATCAGCTCGTTAACACCTTAGTTAAAGCACGAGAGTAACTCATAATGGTCCTACAAATTTGGCTAAAAACCCTTTAATATTTCAAATATAATTCCTCTAGAGATGACCATACTACCTAATGGTAGATTTTGCTTTATGCTGGAACAACGTTGTATAATTTCTCGATTCCAACTTGCAAATGGCCAAATTTTAGGTAGAGATTGAATTTAATTTTTGGCACGTAATATTGGTTAAATTACTCTCCCTCTCTCTCTCTCTCTCTCTACACACACACACACATACATGAAAAATTTCTCCATCTATATTTTTGGTAGAATTTGATCGACAAACTCCAAATTTGACAGTTGTGGGGTTTTATGTAAAACACAAATATCTTTCAAATATGTTTTTGCATATCAATTGCCACTCGAAACATGAAAGAGTTTCTCCCCATTATTCGAAACATCAAATTTATTCAAAAAGTTGGAAAAA